TTCCGTAAGGACGGTCGACCACATCGTCAAGAGGTACCGCGACAGGGACAGTCGAAATCGACGCCTCCCAACGTCGGATCATCGGGGGGTAACAACCCCAATGTCAAATGCTTCAAGTGCAGCGGACAGGGTCATATTTCGACTGACCCAAAGTGTCCGCAATATGGCAAGCCCGGCCGTATGTACGCCCAGCGGATCGTCGACGCCGACGACTTGGACGGTGAGGCCGACGGCCTCTCTCAGCAGATCCTACAGCAACAGAGCGGTCCAGAGGACATGCCTGGAGAGGTCCAGGGCGACGTCGATGACGACGTGGATCTACCGGAGTTGGATTACGACGCCTACCACTTGGACTACGATTCTCCAGAGGATGAGCCTGACTGGGATGACGACGAAGGCCGCCGTGACAAGTTCTACGTCATGCGCGCCGAACCCGTCTTCACGACCCCGGACGGGGAGAAGGAGGCGGTTCCGTCTTCCATCGAATACGATGCAAAGCATATCCTGCAGTCCTTCCAATTGGAAGCCACGACCGCACCTACCAAATCCCTCACAAACACGTGGCTGTACGATTTCCGTATACACCGGTTGAAGGATCCAAAGGATCAACCAGTGCGCGACCCAGAAGCCCAGCAGCCGATATGCATCGAGACAATGATTAACGGCGTGCCTGCGTACACCCTGATTGACACGGGTTGTATGATGGTGGCCATGTCACCAGGGCAGGCCTTCATCTCCAAGGCGGATCGAATTGATCTGCAGGAGCAGATGAGCCTACAGCTGGGCACGAAGGGCAGCCGCACGCGCATCAACCACGGTGCTCGAGCCATGATTAAAGTTGGCTCGATGAGCGAGCCGTGTTATTTCGACGTGGTCGATATCAACCGTTACGACGTAGTCCTTGAGACGCCTTTCCTGAAGAAGCACAATGTTGTGCTTGACTTCAAGAACCGCTCCGTCAAGATTGACAGAGTGCCCATTGGCATCTATACGGCTGTAGAAGAAGCCGAAGTCCTGCGTCTTTGAGGCGAAGCACGTAAGCAACGCATCGTTGCTCAGCTGAAGGAGACAGCGGAACGCGCTGTACGACGACAGTAGGGGTCCGCAGCGGGAATGACCGCGGCGGAGCCTCCCCACTCCCGTTTTGCGAGAAGCAGAGTGTCGTTCGGAGGGGAGGGGAGCGGTACTACGACCGCCTCTCGCGACACGGTACCCAACTTGGCGTCCAACTGGACGTCGGAGAAAGGTAAACCGTCACGACCTGAACAACACCAAGGACGCAAAGAAGACGTCAAGATACCGAGACTGGCGGAACGAGTCGTTCTGTCGCAACATTCATCAACCCAACCAAAGTTGGACCTCTATGGAATGCCAGATCCATTGGGGTTGAACAAACTGTTCATAGCAATGTTTGAGGATTTCCTCGAAGACGAGGAAATCCGTAAGACACACCGCGAACCACCGCCGCTGGGCAGCGAGGAGGAACGCCTCCAGCAGCTCCGCGACAAGTGGTACAAAGACTGCGAGGACATCATGTGATCTCCTCCGGATGGCCTCCCTCCATGGAGAGTGGTCAACCACCGAATACCGCTCATCGATCCTGATAAGCGGTACAATTACCGGTTGCCCCGAGTCCCTAGGATGATCAAAGATGATCTCCTGGACAAGATCAACCGGTACGTCAAGGCGAAATGGTGGCGAGAAGCTCACGCTCCTCAGGCCGCTCCGCTTCTTTGCATTCGCAAAAAGAACGGCAAACTACTAACAGTAGTTGATGCCCGTCAGCGGAACAACAACACCATCAAGGATGTCACACCGCTACCCGACCAGGACTAAATCCGAATGGATGTGGCGCAGTCCAAGTACAGGTCGAAAATCGACCTGTCGGACGCGTACGAGCAGATTCGAATCGAATTGCAAGACGTGTCGAAGACCGCGTTTGCGACTCCATTCGGAGTCTTCGAGAGTCTGGTCATGCAGCAGGGCGATTGTAACGCCCCTGCCACATTCCAACGGTTGATGACAACCCTCTTTCGCGATTTCATTGGACGATTCGTCCACGTCTACTTAGACGATATCTTTGTATTCTCGGACTCGATAGAGGACCACGAGAAACACTTGAAGCTTGTGTTCGACAAGCTTCGTTGATATTTATTCTAAGCGTATGGACTGCCTAGGACATGTAATTGACGATCGAGGCCTCCACGCGGACGCCGACAAGATGGAGAGAATCCGAAACTGGCGAACGCCTCGTTCGTACCATGAGGTACAGCGATTCCTTGGCCTCGTCAACTACCTGGCGGCCTTCA